AATTAACAATAAATACCTAGGTACTATTGTAGAGAAATAGAATGACCATGGGCGGGCAAAAAAGTAGAATGAGCAGGAGCAGCTTGTTACTTCCTGCCAGCTTCTCCATTTAATTGATTTTCCTTGTGGGAAGCTGGCAAAGAGTATTGAAAACCAACCTTCCTTCCTTCCTTCCTTCCTTCCTCCTGCCCTCTGCCCCTCCCTTGTTTGGGATGGATGGTGTCTGGGTTTGGGAAGGGTGGACTTTTGAGTCAGGATGGATGCATGAGAGGTGCTGTGCAGAATAGGGAGGAGATGTGAAGATATGGTGTAAGTTGGAAAGGGTGCATGGGAGTGCGGAACAGGTGCAACATGGGTTGGGGATGAAGTGCAAGAGGAATATTACCACTATAATATTTAATATGATTGACACAATGCACTAAGCTATGGTTCAATCATAAATCACAATTGGCTATATATGTAAAGCTGAAAATAATAGCAATACCAATAGCACTTAGACTTATATACCACTTCATAGTGCCTTTATAGCCCTCTCTAAGCGGTTTACAGAGTCAGCATATTGTCCACAACAATCTGGGTCCTCATTTTACTGACCTTAGAAGAATGGAAGGCTGAGTCAACCTTGAGCCGGTGAGGTTTGAACTGCTGAACTGCAGCTAGCTGTCAGCTGAAGTAGCTTGCAGTGCTGCACTCTAACCACTGCACCACCTCAGCTCTTATAATAAACTCAAATATTGGCTGAACCATTATCCACTACTGTTTTGTAATTGGTTACCATCTGTACAGCGCACTCAAAAATGTCTATTTTGGTGTGAGCTCTTATAATCAGCTTTTCTAATAACTTTATTCTTAAAATAGTAAAATGATTTCTGTTTTAAGCTGTACTTCCTTGTCATTAAAACATATCTTGTTGAATCCAATTGGAACAGTAATATTATTTATCAAAGTAAACTTAAAACCACATTTTATCTCTCACAAAATTGTCTCATGTGTCCCTTGAAAATGTTGGAAAGGGATGTTGAAAGCTTGCCAATTTTTGTCCACTTGTGCTAAATATAGTATTTTTCTCACAATGCAGTATTTTCTCAGAAGACGGAATTTACTTAAGTTTTGCATAGATTTATATAGGAAACACACAATATTTTACTTGCAAAAAACAAGACAGTTGGAATAGAGAGGTTATCTTTCAGAACCAACCCATGAGAAGCAACATACTTCAACAAAAGAGGAAGAATCCAGTGTTGAAATTTTGCAGTGTGAGAAAATGGATTAATTCTACTTGTAAAGAAAAGGCAAAAAGAAAACTTAATATGGTATGAATATCCATAGATTCATAGGAAAGTGATTACTGTCATATTTATTAGGTAAATCACATAAAGATAAATTCTCAAAAGAAAGAACAACTTCCATATATCAATATTATCCTAATGTGGACATGTCAAGACCAGCCTCTGCGGAGGGCTGCAACACTAGGGATGCAGAACCAGAGGTCAGGGAGAGGGTTGGAGTTCAACTTAGGGAGGGCTGTTCTATCAGTATAGTGAGTGGGAGGGGCAGACATGGCGGAAGCAGGGGGCCACATCATGTTTGGGGAGTGCGCACTCGCTACCTTAGAGCGATTGCACACTCCGGTCCCCAATGCTTTTCTCGTTCCCCAGGCTGTTCAGATTCTCAGGGCCAGAGCCTTCGGCTGATGTTGTGCAATGCCAGGTCCGTTGTTAATAAAGCTCCCCTCATCCACGATCTTATTCAGGAGGGGGCAGCAGACCCAGCGGGCATTACGGAGACCTGGTTGGGCCAGGAGGGGGGAGTTCCCCTCGTGGATATGTGCCCACCAGGCTTCCGTGCATTCCATCAGCCGAGGGCTCAGGGCAGGGGCGGGGGGGGGGGGGGGCGGGTATTATAAAGGAAGGTGTGGATCCAAGGGAGACCACTGTACCTCAGATAGCCGGATGTGAGTCCCTTTTTGTGAAGTGGGGTCGTGGGGTGCAGATGGGCTTGTTGATCACGTACCTGGCTCCCTGCCATGTGGCAACGGCCCTGCCTGAGCTGCTCAATGTCATAGCCGGGGTGGCGGTTGATACCCCCAGGCTTTTGGTCATGGGGGATTTTAACCTGCCATCCATCGGCGAAACGTCTGAGGTGGCCCGGGAGTTCATTGCTTCCATGATGGCCATGGACCTGACTCAGTTAATTCATGGCCCCACTCACATAGGCGGGCACACTCTGGACTTAATTTTTATCTCTGGTCAGTGGTTGAGTGGCCTTGATATAGGAGATATAGTCATCGAACCCTTGTCATGGTCTGACCACTTGCTCCTTCGACTTGACTTTCTAACCGCTACACCCCGCCGCAGGGAGGCGGAACCGACTACGTGGTTCCGCCCCAGGCGCCTGATGGATCCTGATAGGTTCCAGATGGAGCTTGGGCCAATCCCTGAGACTCTGGCTCATGACTCGGCTGAGGACCTGGTGGCTGCCTGAGATAGTGTGGCCGGCGGGGCCTTGGACCGCGTCGTGCCTTTGCGGCCTCTGACCCGGCACTGAACTCACCTAGCTCCTTGGTTCTCCGAGGAGCTGAGGGAGATGAAGTGCCAGAAAAGACTCATGGAGAGCAGTTGGAGGACCAGCCGTTCCGAATCTGACTGAACACTGGTGAAGTCTCATATTAAGACCTACCTAGTGGTGATAAAAGCAGCAAAATCTAGCTATTTTTCCACTCTTATTGCATCATCAGATAATCGCCCAGCTGCCCTGTTTAGGATGACCCGCTCCCTCCTCCATCTGGGAGCGCGGCATGACCCATTGCAGGGTCGAGCTGAGGATTTTGTGCAGTATCTGCATGATAAAATCGCTCAGATTTGGGAAGGTCTGGCCACTGACTGGGTATGTCCAGACGGGATGATTGAGGCAGGTCTTGAGAGTGTTATCTGGGAGGAGTTTGATCCTGTGGCTCCCGAGGACGTGGACAGGATTCTGGGACGGCTGAACGCGACCACATGTTTATTGGACCCGTGTCCCTCCTGGTTGGTGCTGGCTTCCCGGGAGGTGACACGAGGCTGGCTCCAGAGGATTATTAATGCTTCTTTGAGGGAGGGTGTCCTGCCGGCCGCCTTGAAAGAGGCGGTGGTGAGGCCCCTCCTCAAGAAGCCCTCTCTGAATCCGGCTATTTTGGCTAACTATCGTCCAGTCTCCAACCTTCGTTTTATTGCGAAGGTTGTTGAGAGTGTGGTCGCGCGGCAGCTGCCCCAGTACCTGGATGAAGCTGTCTATCTAGATCTGCTCCAGTCCGGCTTCAGGCCTGGGCACAGCACGGAAACGGCATTGGTCGTGTTTGTGGATGATCTCTGGAGGGCTCGGGATAGGGGTTGCTCCTCTATCCTGGTCCTATTAGATCTCTCAGTGGCTTTTGATACCATCGACCATCATATCATGTTGTGCCGATTGGAGGGGTTGGGGTGGGGGGGGCACCGTTTTGCGGTGGTTCTCCTCCTACCTCTCTGACCAGTCGCTATCTGTGTTGACAGGGGGCAGCGGTCAACCCCGAGGCACCTTGTTTGTGGGGTGCCGCAAGGGTCGGTCCTCTTGCCCCTTCTGTTCAACATTTATGTAAAGCCGTTGGGTGAGATCATCCGTGGCTTTGGGGTGGAGATCCATCAGTACACTGATGACACCCATCTGTACATCTCCACCCCAGGTCACCCCAATGATGCCCTTGAAGTGATGTCCCAGTGCCTGGAGGCCGTGCAAACCCGGATGGGGAGAAACAGGCTCCGACTCAACCCTTCCAAGACCGAGTGGCTGTGGCTTCCGGCGTCCCGATATAGCCAGCTGGTGCCATCGCTGATTATTGGGGGCGAATCACTGGCCCCCACGGAGAGGGCTCACAACTTGGGCATCCTCCTGGATGCATGGCTGTCTTTAGAAGAGTATATGACGGCCGTGGCCAGGGGGGCTTTTTATCAGGTTCGCCTGATACTCCAGTTGCGTCCCTTTCTGGATCGGGACTCCCTACGCACGGTCACTCAGGTGCTCATCACCTCCCGCCTGGACTATTGCAATGCTCTCTACATGGGGTTCCCCCTGGGGTGCACCCAGAGGCTCCAGCTGGTCCAGAATGCGGCCGCGTGGGGGATTATGGGAGCGACCGGGTGCTCCTATGTGACACCTCTCCTGCGCGAGCTGCACTGGCTCCCGGTGGTCTTCCGGGTGTGCTTCAAGGTGTTGGTGACCACCTTTAAAGCGCTCCATGGCTTAGGGCCAGGGTATCTATGAGACCGCCTTCTGCTACCAATAGCCTCCCACTGGCCAGTACGCTCACACAGAGGGCCTCCTCAGGGTGCCGTCCGCTAGACAATGTCGGCTGGCGACCCCCAGGGGGAGAGCCTTCTCTGTGGCGGCGCCCACCCTCTGGAACAACCTCCCCCGAGATACGCACAATACCAGACCTCCGGACTTTTCGTCGGGCTCTGAAAACTTATTTATTTCACTTAGCCGGGCTGGCTTGATCCCACTGTTTTGGTTAAATTGAATTGATTTTAATTGTGTTGTTTTAAATTGGGGCCAAAAATATTTAATTATTTTTAAACTGTTTTTAAATTTTGTATGTTCTGTTTTATTCTGGCTGTTCACCGCCCTGAGTCCTGCTGGAGAAGGGCGGTATACAGATTAAAACAAACAAATAAATAAATAAATGTCAAAAGCTACAGTCAGCATATAATGAGCTGTGGTGGCACAGTGGTTAGAATGCAGAATTGCAGGCTGATTCTGCCCACTGCCAAGGGGTTCGATCTTCACCTGCTTAAGGTTGAATCCTTTCAAAGTCAGTAAAATGAAGACCCAGATTGTTGGGGGCAATATGCTGACTCTGTAAACTGCTTGGAGAGGGCTATGAAGCACTATGAAGTGGTGTATAAATCTATTGCAGTAACTTCTGGACAGGGAAGACCTGGATAAATGAAACCACAATATCTTCATACAGATTTTAAAACAGTCTTGCGAATTGGAACGTTTTTAATTGGCTTTATCAATCCAAATGAAATTTTGGTACATTGTCAAAACAATTATATTTGTAATATATTACCCTGGCCTTTGCAATGAAAATATATTTCCATATGTTTGAAGGGATTTTCCCAAAGATACTATTGAATTTGCAGCTTCCTTGTTTCCTATTCTCATGACAAATCCTGTTGCAGTTCTACTAAGGCAGGCTTATATTTTTAAGTACTATATCTAGTATCCAGATTTCTTTAGCAGAGTTTCCGTAAGAAGACAGCAGATGAAGTGGGTTTTTTTAAAAAATCTGTGTATCAGAGAAATGAATATAGCTGTAACAAGGAATCCAGCCTGACCAATCATCACAATTTTGTAATTAGTTATCTAATACTGTTTCACTAAGATGCTAAACATAGGAGACTTTTATTAGCATGCACAATGTAATGCTTTGCTTAATATTAAAATATAAATATATTTTCTTATATTAAAGCAGCACTGAAAAATATACTGATAAGGCACAAAAGCAAATGTTCTCTTACAACATAAGTCAGAGAAAGGAAAACAAATTTAACCTTTTCTTCCAGCTCTTCTTACGAGGAGAAAGTTTTCTTACCACTGTCCTCTTATTTATTGTTGAATGCCAGTTACTTCAAATCAAAACTTCCATTACTCCTAATTGAACAATTTAGAAACTTTTGTTCTTCCATGTATGTAGTTTTTATTTATTTAGTTTTGATGCTGCCTGACTCCAAGTATATTTGGGTTTAAAGAACAGCATAAAAATAACAAAATTATCAGCTACACTAGGTAGATTAGACCGTGAAATCAATTCCACATGATGGCTAAAACAATATTTGCTGATGTTGACTATAATAACAGAAACTTCCATATCTGATTGTGCTTATCTCCTTTTTTTAATATTCAGTGAATTAGGGAGATGTTTGTCTAAATAGCTTTCAAATGTTATCTAGCTGTTGTAGACTTAAAAGAAAATAATTCAATCTTTATTTTGCTTGGGCAACTGCTTCTGCATATTAATGGTAGGGTCATCTTCCTTACTCTGTACAAAAATACAATAAATTAGATAAAAATAAATTAAAACTAATTCCAAAAATAATTAATCAGAAACAGGGATAGCTAAGACGCTGAGCTTGTCGATCAAAAGGTTGGCAGTTCAGCGGTTCAAATTAGGGGTGAAATCCAGCAGGTTCTGACAGGTTCTGGAGAACCGGTAGCGGAAATTTTGAGCAGTTCGGAGAACCGGCAGCGGAAATTTTGAGTAGTTCAGAGAACCAGCAAATACCACCTCTGGCTGGCCCCAGAGTGGGGAGGGAATGGGGATTTTGCAGTATCCTTCCCCTGGAGTGGGGTGGGAATGGAGATTTTGCAGTATCCTTCCCCTGCCATGCCCACCAAGCCACACCATACCCACCAAGCCACGCCACAGAACTGGTAGCAAAAAAATTTTGGAGTTCACCACTGGTTCAAATCCCTAGTGCCGCGTAATGGGGTGAGCTCCCGTTTCTTGTCCCAGCTTCTGACAACCTAACACTTCGAAAGCACATAAAAAATGCAAGTAGAAAAATAGGGACTACCTTTGGTGGGAACAGCATTCCATGTGCCTTTGGTGTTTAATCATGCCGGCCACATCACCACGGAGACTTCTTTGGACAGCACTGGCTCTTCGGCTTTGAAACGGAGATGAGCACCGCCCCCTAGAGTAGGGAACAACTAGCACATATGTGCGAGGGGAACCTTTACCATTACCTTATTCATTCTATTCCAAAGCTTGGGAGTATAGACAGGTTTTGAAGACCTTCTGGACCAAAATCAGGGGAAAAGACACATGAAGGGACCTTGTTCCAGAGTGCAGGCACTTCAGAGAAAGTAAACTGACTCACAAAGCAGATGTGTCAAGTGGACATGTTGATGAAGCATATACAATTTGTGTCACTGAATTCTAGACCAGTTGAAACTTCTGGGTGGCCCTCAAGGGTGGCCCATGTGGAATAAATTGCAATATTTGAGCTATGAGATGACCAGGTCTGAGTGACTGTTTGGAAAGCCATCTCACCCTGGAAAGGACACAACTGGCATGCCAGAGGAGCTGTGCAGTAAAGGTAGAAATTAACTGGGCCTACACATCCCAATAGCATCTTGGAGCAGAAGTTGGTTCTGGCTCACACAGGAATTTAACAGATGTATTTGGCTGGACTGAGCTTGACAGATATGAGTTGGTACCAACAACATATTTAGTAAATGATGGAACTCGCTAAAATTGCTCAATTGACTTCTTTGAGCAAAGAAAAGACCTCATGCAAACTTTTTGTGTAAAACAGAAAAAAGTGAAGTTATGATTTATGGGAGTTATGTTGTAACCATAGAGTAAAAGGTAAATTCATAATTGTATTTATGTGCTCGCTTCGGCAGCACATATACTAAAATTGGAACGATACAGAGAAGATTAGCATGGCCCCTGCGCAAGGATGACATGCAAATTCATGAAGCGTTCCATATTTTTAAAAGAAGAAGAGATAATTTATACTTGGTTTCAGTATGGTCAGCTACAAGCTAGATAGAGGGAAGATCAAAAATTTGGTTTTATGCAAAATGAGGAAAATTTGGTGAAACAGATTAGAGATCAAAGCCAGATGCATATCAAAAGGTTGTATAATGCATTATTGGAAATAGAGTCAGAAACGGAATTGGTTAAGGATTGTATGATAAAATGGGCACAAAACTTTCAGGAACCAGTGATGATGGAAACGTGGGAAAAGATTTGGGTCAGAAATGTTAAATTTACGCAAGCACAAAATCTGAGAGAGAATTTTTATAAAATGTTTTACAGATGGCATTTAGATCCTAAAAAATTATCATGTATGTACTCGAATTTGCAAGCTAAATGTTGGAGATATGAATGTGATGATGCAACCTATTATCATATATGGTGGACTTGTAAGAAAATCAAGGCATTTTGGATAAAAATTTGGTGGGTGATGCAGAACATTTTGAAAAGAAGGTTGAAATTTACTCCTCAATTGTTTCTATTGGGTATAACTATGGACTGTACAGTTTCAGAGACTAAATTGATTTTGAACTTAATATCAGCAGCTAGGCTGCTGGTAGCTCAATATTGGAAGAAAGACTCTTTGCCTACTATTGAAGAGTGGATATTGAAAGTAACAAACCTAGCAGAAATGGCGAAAATCTCAGCGTACTTGAAGGACCACACGCAAGAAAGATACGTATCGGAATGGAGAAGATGGATTGATTATATTCAAAATAAGTATCAGACAAGAAAATATCAAATAGCTTATGAATGAATGTTAGTATTAGAAGTATTAGGTTATCTATAGTGGAGTTAAGGTTTCGGGGGGGAGTTAGTACTTTGAGGATAAGTAGATTAATCTAGTTTATGATTGATTAAATGAAATACCTTGTATTTTGCTCTGGGAAGTCTGGGGGGGAGGGGGGGATGAAGGGGGGGAAAGGGTGGGGGGAACATGGGGGGAAATTTTTGTATTTCTTTTTTGTAAAACTTTTCAATAAAAAAAAATAATATAAAAAAAGAGAAAAAAATAATAATTGTATTTATAACATAGGAGGCTACTTCTTTGTATTTTTTTCCTTTTCTACCCTTTTTTGCACTTTTAGTTTCCTATTTGATTTTTTATTTTTATTTTTTTTTACTTTATATTTGCAAGTATACAAATGCATCATTGATATCAGGATAGGCGGCATATAGATTTAATCATTAAATATTAGTTTGTATTAGCTTTTCTTTTTTAAAAAAAATCTTTCATAAAAAATTAAAAATAAATACTACTACATTTAACAGAGATTTAAATTAATCAGTCCTAAAACATTTTTAAAAGATTCTTGGTTAAGATATTTAAATTTAGTAGCTGGTACAATGGGTTGTACAATGAGCCAGAACACACAGTTGTAGTTGATTGGAGACTGCTGGCTCCTGCGTGAAGCAATCTGCACTGTGATTGGTTGCTATGGGAGTGGAGGGGGGGGGGTTTCCCTTCCCCCCCACCTTTTTCTTCTGTGTGCCCTGTATGCTCTGTGATTTATTTCATGATGCTCCTGTTTGCCTGTTTATATTGTTTGCTGTAAATATAGATCTAAAATATATTTATTTATATAAAACTGTAAGTTCGTGTCAGTGTCTCTTATTTCATTTAGACACCTGTTGCGCAATTCCCTGACAATCTCCATTCGATCTTTTCTTCAGATCAACCACGGAATCTCTTTGCTATTCCTTAAATCAGCTCAGTTGTATCTGCAGGGGAACAAAACCAGGAAGATGGCAGATGGGACCCTGCTCCATAAGCTGTGTGTCTTTCACACACTTGCCAACATCACATCAAAATGAATGGTACTGGCACTGTGATGTTCCATCTGCCATCTTGCTGATTTTAAACCCTCCTCTGCAGATTCTGCTGAAGGTTATAAATCTGAAAAAGGAAACTGCTACTTTATTTTTTTATTAACAATTTTATTGGTTTATAACATAACATACAAAAAAAAAAAGCACAAAAGCAAACAGTAGGGAAAATAGGGAAAGAAAAAGGGAAGAGAAAAGGGAAGGGAAAAATGTGGAAACTGCTAGTTTAAAAGTTAAGATAGAAGTATCTTTTTCAGCCTTGGGTGGAAGCTTGCTTTAATTCGTAGCAAAGAGGTGTTGTGCTCGCATATGGCCCAAACTATATGAAATTTTAGAAGCCTACTTACCCTAATCTTGGTAAATTAACTTGCTTAGACTTCATTTTTAATAAAAAAGTTCAAATGCTGCATTGATGCAAGAATCAAGATATAAAATGCAATTTTATTTTATTTATCTATTTATTTATGAAGTTTATTGGCCACCCATCTTACTAGCAAGGTAACTCTGGGGGCTTGCAAATATGATAGATAGGATAGATAGATAGATAGATAGATAGATAGATAGATAGATAGATAGATAGACAGACTAAAATACCCGCAAACGCTTTGATCCAATTACAGATGGGGAGAGGAGCAGGGTGGAAGGAAGTGGGATCTGTTGTTAATCAACCACTGTGATGCTCCCCCATTGGGGCCCCAACTAACTGGAAGAGGTCAACCTCACATGGGAGGGGCAAGATGTTTCAGAGAGCAGATGCCATGGCAGAGAAGGCCTTCCTCAACCCTGCCAGCTGGAATAATCAGGGCCCGCAGCATGCCTTCTCTGCCAGGATGCATGGGATGGGCCAATCCTAGTGAGATGAGACAATCCCTCAAGTAGCCTGGATCCATGCCATGAAGGGCTTTAAAGATGACTACCAATATTCTTAAAAGAACAGTAATAAAATGGGAGTATAACAGTAACAAAAACTTTGAGGTACTTTAAAAGTATTTTTCATTATGGATTTTTGCAAAGGGCACAATGTCATGTGAAGGATTCATGTTAGTACTTGCATCACAACCAATATGTAAATCACCTTTTTTTCAACATGCCATCAATTACCCCATTGCAAACACCTGTGCTTGCAATATATCATTTACATTTTGTTGTGCATTTGCACACTTTAAAACATAAGAAAACAGGAAATTCAAGATGAGATGAAAAGTATGTGGTTTTGCAAAACCATGCAGGTTCTCCGAATGAGCACAGCTATTCTGAAAGCTAGGTTATTATATGTAATAAGACTTTGCAACTTATCAGTCACTTGCATACTGAATTATTTGTTTGAATTATTACATGTGAATTATATGCTAAGATTTTATGCTTTAATTATATGCTTAGATTTTTCCAGATTCTTAACTAGATATAAAAATATGTGCCAGTGCATTCAACTAAAACTATTTGCTTATGTGTGTTTCATTATTTCAGTAAATGCAAAATGTATAAAATACATTCAAAGCCCAAAGACTGTAAACTTATTTCCCTAACCTATTTTCTAACCTTGGAAATATTTGGTCTTTGATTGTGCAGAACATGCAATTTAGCAATGGGCTATTGTTCCCCTTTTTAGTAATGTTTATTGATTCATCCCCAAACAAAGATTTTATTTATTTGCAATTGCTTCAGCGATTTTGGGAGGTTAAACATGTTGAATCTAGATTCAGATGCTCAAAGAAAATTATTTCAATTATATGCAAGCCCTATGTTTTTTTTCTTCCATTCAACCATGTCTGATTCTTGGTGATTTTTGGAGACTGGACAACCATTTGTTTGCAATGGTATTTCTCCTGCTTGAGCAAGGGATTGGACTAGAAGACCTCTGAGCAGGGGTGAAATCCAGCAGATTCTGGAGAACTGGTAGCAGAAATTTTGAGCAGTTCAGAGAACCGGCAAATACCACCTCTGGCTGGCCCCAGAGTGGGGTGGGAATGGGTATTTTGCAGTACCCTTTCCCTGGAGTGGGGTGGGAATGGGGATTTTGCAATATCCTTCCCCTGCCATACCCAAGCCACACCCACCAAGCCACGCCCACAGAACTGGTAGTAAAAAAAAAAAAGGATTTCACCACTGCCTCTGAGGTCCCTTCCAACTCTATTATTCTAAGTTCTATGACTGCCTGGACAAGTCCTTTCAATTTTCTTGGCAAGTTTTATTCAGAAATGGTTTGACATTGCCCTGTTTATAGGGCCGAGAGAAAACAACTGGCCCATGTCCATCCATCTGGCTTTGTCCCCAAAACAGGATTAGAATTCATAATCTTAAAATTTCAGATTTTTTTGATGCCTTAACCACCTTATTTAGTATGACACAAATGCGGGGGGGATCCACTTTAAAAATTATTTGTAAACTGCAGCCAAGCCAAATGAAGTTTCATGTTCTTATAATTATCCCAGGAGCAGAGAACGACATTTTTTTCCCTCTGTAGTAATGTCCTGATTTTTTTTTTCTCAAGAGAAAATACATTTCCTGCTGAATTCAATGTGATTAAAACCCAAATCCTTATTGACAAGACTGCACTTCCAAATGAACCGTAACATCTAATATCCCACCCGACTCTTAGCAATCATCAGTTTCCTTCCCCAAACAACGGAGAAACGGGATTCGCTTCAGCGTCTCAGCCAATACTAAAAAACGGATTTTACATCTTCCTTCTTAACGGCGGTTTTCAACTGGAAGCTGCCTCCATTCCCGTAGGGGGAAACAGAGGCCAGCCTCTTCTTCTTTCTACTTTGTACGCTGCGTCTCTCACCTGGACACACCTAACTCACCTGAGGCTGCGCGGAAGCCTCCTTTTCCGAGCCCGCTGCCTCCCGCTCGTAGCCCGCCCCGCCTGTTTCCTGACCGCGCAGGCGCATTGTGACTCGCCCGGCAACTCTCCTCGGGCTCGGCTTAGCGCTATCATGGCGGCAGCAACCGGAGCGAGCAGGAAGCGATGGACGAGCTAACCGTGGCGACTGCAGAGTGAAGCAGCTGCACGGAGGGGGGGGGGGGGGAAAAAACCCCAAAAAAACTTTCAGGCGTCTTCCCCCTCCCATAAAGCGGAACCTCCCGCTTGGTTCCCATCCAATTCAGGTCGGCATAGCGCCAGTCTGGTGGCGGAGAAACGAAAGAAGACATCTATCTCCATGCCCGGGCATTAGAAGGCGCGTCTCCCTGCCCTTTGGCCCCGATCGTCCCGGGAGCGGAGAGCTCGGCTGGGTGAGTGCGAACTTCCCAGCTGGCCCGACTTCGTCCTTGCACCTGTGACTGCGCGCGCGAGGGGCAAGAAGCAGGGAGAGCGCTTGCTCCTACCGGAGCTGCTGAAAGACAAGGACAGCAGCAGCCAGGAGGAGAGAGAGAGGCTGGAGAATAGCCCCGGGGAAGGTGCTGCCTCTTCAGATCTACAATATCTTTTTTTTTTTTTTTTTAAATAAGAACAATCTTTTAGGAAACCATTTTTTCCCACCCTCTCCCTCTCGGGTGCCAGCAAGTTGAACATTTGCAGCGAGGAGGAGCTTACCTGTGCGGTGTGGTTGCTCCTGGTTTTATTGAGGGAGAGAGGGAGGCGTGTGCTTCAAGAAGGGAGCAGAGTTTTATAGCCAGGTAGATGGCAGGCTTGTAGATATTGTTTAACAAAATGCCCTGTATGCTTAACTGTTGTCTTTCTGGAATGACCTTCTTTCAACAGACCATTGCCCAGGCCCTGCCATTGAGTGAAGAAAAGGAGGAGTCGCGACTCGAGTTTGCTGCGCTGCCTTTCAAGGTGCTTTAAGAACTGGACCTGAAGATCCAGGCTAGAGTGGCTGTTCTGTGTTTCTGGAAGTGAACTAACTATGGCTAGTGAAGAAAGGCAGAGCTCTTCCTCGCCGTCAACAGGGGATGATAAAGGAGGAGGCCGCGGCGAAGGTGGTGGTGGTACTACTGGGCAAGGAAAAGATGGAAGCTCAGCTGAAAAGCAGTCTTTGAATCCAGGCATCCCTATCCGGGGTATCAGGATGAAATTTGCTGTTCTGACAGGATTGGTGGAAGTTGGGGAAGTATCCAACAGGGATATTGTAGAAACTGTGTTCAATCTGGTGAGTCACTTATCTTTCTTTTTTTTCCTCTCCAAATGAAGAAAAGCATATGATGATGAAATAATGTACATTCTCCCCATGTTCATATTACTGTGGTTAAACACAAATGTTCACACTTGGCCATTTGTACCAGGGTGGTGAGTCTAGCAAGCTGCTGCATTTTCCTGGAAGAAAAGCCAACTAACTCATTTAAGGTTGTGTTGCTTTTTTTCCCTCATAGTTTTTATTTTTGCTTGAATTTTCTGGGACTTTGTTTCAAATTCTTGCTGTCAAACAACTTTTCTGCCACTTGTAACTTTATAAATGTATAATGAAAGCACAAGGTAGATGTTAAAATTTACACCCTAAAATATGCTATTTTATCTGTTTGTAATATTGGTCTAATATATCCTATTGTAAGTTTGTAATTGATGGCTCTGCAGATGTATAGATATATCTATAGGAGGAGTGTCAAACTGGTGGGCCACGGGCTGAATGTATCAGGCGCAGGCCACGCCCACCCCAGCTCCGCGAAGGGAAAAATGTCACAATATGTCATGTGACAGCAACGTGACACCACAAGTTTGACACCCGTGATCTATAGGATATATAATTATTTGTACTGCAGACCCTCAACTTTTTGTATTCTCAAATTTTCCTAAGTGAAAGTTCTCTTACAAAAGGGTTTAGGCTGATTAATATTAAACACAAATATTAGGCTTTGAGGAAATATGACATTAGATTTGGGTATTACAGTCTGGTGGCAGAGAACAGTAATTATATGATAATCTGGGCAATTCATATATATATTGCATGAACTTTAGAATGTGAGAATAATTACTTCCTCTGGCTCAGTCAGAATTAATGATTGGCCTGACTTTTAAGACCATGTCTCGCATCTGAAATGGTCTTAAAAGCTGAAATAAAACTGGGTACACAATATGCACCATTTCACATTCCACATGAGATCTTTGCTTAAAAGTTATAGCCTACATTTTCACAAAGTTCTACTTGAATTTGATATAACTTGTTTTAGATAAAATCTGAAATGGTTACTTAAATTTAGGCTCTGCAATGTAAATAAGAGAAAGAACATTCCTAATTTAATAAAACATGTAGTAAAAGTATAAAAAGAGAAAATTTTGAGTTGTTTTATTCCTGATATATTTATAATAGTTCTTTACTTTGAAGTGTGAGTTAGTTAATCCCTAAGTATTTGCTAGAAGTAAGCTGCAGAAATAGAAGATTTGTCAAGATTAATTGTGGCCTAGCTTTATTATGCCATAAACATAAAGTGATTATTCTAGTCTATATATACTGCATTGTCTCCATTGTCTTTAACTAGTGGATTTTTGACTTAAAAATCCAAAATATTATCACTTTTTTCTATAGCAGTAGCAGAAGACCTCACACATTAATTCCTGGGTTCAGAAAGTATTTGACAGTCATATTTTTTATGTTTATGAATATATAAAAGTTTGTTGAACTCTCTAGAGCATTGCAGCATTTTGTACACAGTATTGCAAGTGTATAGTGTATCAGCAATTTGTATCAGCAATTTAGTATATTTTATTTCAGTCTATATGAAAACAATTATAAGTCATATTAGCAATATGAGTTTTGTTAAAAATGATTTAAATTGAATTATATTATATGCAGAAACTAAATATAAAATTTCCCCCTCCCTTTCCCATTAGAGTATTCCAAGGTGTACCTTACAGTGAACTGGATTTTTGTCAATGTCTGCCTGGCATATTGCTATATGTGAATAGACTATATAAATTGGATGCAGCTAGAAATATTTGGGAGGACTTAGAGTGGGAAATGTTGTCCAGTATGATTGTCTTTTCTTTTGTGAAATGGTAGGCATTTTTTGGGGTCAAACACAGTGTTTTGGGAGGTGGATAATACACAGGACTTTAAGCAAAGAAACAGTTTCATTGCACATATTCTACCCAATCCCATCTCCATCTGGCATCTTCCATCTAGAATACTTTGACATTAGTCTGGATATAAGTTTATTACTACTGAGAAATAATGTAATGTGTAATGCTACAGTTGGACTTCAGTTTGAGAAGTACCATATACTCTTTCCACAAGCCAATGCTTTCCTTCCTCAGAAGGAAAATACATTCATTTCTATGAGTCACGGCTGTTTATTTTTTAAACAATCATATTTAATAGTGAAAATTTCTGAAGCATTTATTTTAACTATTTAAGATAAATAGTTTGCCAAATGGACAGGGCTCATACACCGTCCCTTTCCTGCCACTGAATATGTTCCCTATCTTGTGCAGTGTGATGTGACTCTTGGTCATGTTCTGATTCAGATACCATGGTTCCTCTATTAGAGCTTTAGTATAAAAACACTCTTATTAGGGCAGAACACTAGAGAAACTTTTGACTTGAGAAGCTAGAAAAAATGATTTACTATCTCCCCATAGCATCTTATTAAAAATTGGAATTTTCAGTTGTGGAAAGTCCAGGAAAATTTTGGCAACACAAATACACACTATGAAAAAAAGAGAATCAGGTTTGTATATACTGGGACAATAACCACTGAGGGATTACAGCCATTCTAATATACCACTCCCCGTATTTGGTGATGGATAAATGGCTGAGAAACATTTTCATGGTGGGGGTGGCCTGCTCCCTTGTTACTCTGACAAATCAAGCAGATAAAAGTATGAAGTTCTGAGTTACATTTGCACTTGGTAGCTGTTCACTAGAACACTCAACATGAGGTCCAAAGAGGTGTCTAGGAAAGTGAAAGAGGCCATCATTAGGCTAAAAAAGCAAAATCTATGAGAGAGAGCGCAAAAACACTGGGAATAGCCAGAACAATATTTTGAAACTTTCTTAAAAAGAAGGAATTAACTAGCAGGCTCAGCAACACCAAAAGGCCTGGAAAGTCCTGAAAGATAACTAAAGTGGATGACTACAGAATTCTGCCATTGGGTAAGAAAAACTCTTTCACAACATCTAGCTCAAGAACACTCTTGAGGTAGATGTGTCATTGTTAAAGTTTACAGCCAAGAGACGGAGTCATGAATGTAAATACAGAGGCTTTATAACAAGGTGCAAACTCTGGCCACGCTCAGGAACAGGAAGGCCAGATTAGACTTTGTCAGAAAACACCTTAAGAAGCCTTCCCACTTCTGGAATAGATTCTTTTGACTGATGATACCAAGATTAACTTGTACTATAAAGATGAAAAAAATATGGAGAAGGAAAGGAGCAGCTCGTGATCCGAGCACACTATATCATCTGTCAAACATGGCAGAGACAGTGTTATGCATGGGCATGTATGGCTGCCAGTGGAACTGGGTCACTGGCGTTTATTGATGACCTGGCTGCTGATAAAAGTAGCAGGATGAATTCTGAAGGGTATAGGACTATACTCTCTGCTCAGATTCAACCAAATGCTGCAAAACTGATAGGATGCCCCTTCATATTGCAGATGGATAATGACCTAAAACATACAACAAAAGCAACCAAGAGTTCCTCAAGGCACAGAAATGGGATATTCTTCACTGGCCAAGTCAGTCACCTGATCTCAGCCCAATAGAGCATGTTGTTACTTATTGAAGACAAGACTGAAAGCAGAAAGACCTACAAACAAGCAACAGCTGAAGGCAGCTGCAGTAAAAAGCAGGCAAAGCATCTCAAAGAAGGAAATTCAGCATTGAGGCTAGTCCACGAGATCTAGACTTCAGGCAGTCATTGAGTGCAAAGGATTTTCATCCAAGTATTAAAAACAATACTTATATTTATAATTCTGTTTGTCCATCATTTATGAGCCATCAAAAATGTGATTGGGTGTATTAAAATAGTTGTAATTCCTTCAATGGTTAATGCTGTACTTTTTTCAAACCCCTTAAATTAAAGTTGAGAGTCTTCACTCACATCTTGAGTGTTTCATTTCAGATTCAGTGTGATGGTAGCTCAGATGTCAAAAAATGTATCATTGTCCCAATACACACAAACCAGATTGTGTGTATGTATGTTTGTATCTACTAGTAACCAAGGCGAAGCTAAAGCTACCATGTTTCCCCCAAAATAAGACATCCCCTGATAATAAGCCCAATCGGGCTTTTGAGCGCATGGCAATAAGGCCAAGTGCTTATTTCAGGGTTCAAAAAAATATAAGACAGGGTCTTATTTTCAGGGAAACATGGTAATAGTTTAGTCAAATATTTGGACCCTTCAGAAATAATTTTGCTTGGCTAGTAAATTATGTAACACCACAAACTAATACAATAAGAGTTAAGAGACAGGAATGTTAAGAGGAGCCCAAGCAGACATCAGATTCACTAAAAAAAAATATCCACAAAAAACAGTTTTCCAACAAGGAAGTTTAAATTTCCTGTTGTAGAGCTGACTGAACTTAATGAGAAGTGTAAATATCTCTTACAGAACTGTGCTGACCTCTACTGTTACACTGTTATTTTAGTATATGATTTAGTGCTTGGTACTTTCCCAAAGAGAGTCTCTGGCTCTTTTCTACCGAATTCAGTGGCCACCTGCACTGAATCCTACCTATCATTCATAGGTGACTAATGACTGGTTGCCTCTTGAATTGCAAGCTAGGAGACCTGTAAAGTTTTGC